TTTTTTTTTTTTTATGGTTTTTCGAGACAGGGTTTCTCTGTGGCTTTGGAGGCTGTCCTGGAATTTCTTCTGTAGACCAGGCTGTCCTCGAACTCACAGAGATCCACCTGCCTCTGCCTCCCGGGTGCTGGGATTAAAGGTGTGCACCACTAAGGCCCAGCTCCCAGAAGCAACTCTTATAAAGGAAAACATTTAATTGGGACTGGCTTACAGTTGCAGAGATTTAGTCCATTATCATCAAGGTGGGACATGGCGGTGTGCAGCAGACACGGAGCTGCAGGAGCTGAGAGGCCTGCATCTTATTCCATCGACAAGAGGCAGTAAACGGGGACACTCGCATAGCTTGAGCATGGGAGACCTCAAAAGCCCACCCCCACAGTGACACTCTTCCTCCAACAAGCCCATACCTACTCCAGCAAAGCCACACCTCCTGATAGTGCCTGCCACTCCCTAGGAGCTCAAGGGGGGCCAGTTAATTCAAACTACCACAATTACATATAGTTATTTATGGGACAAGCACACTACTGTGCACATGGGGAGGTCAGAGGACAATTGAGAGTTAGTGCTCTATATCAAGTGTGGGACCGACGGATTGAACTCAGGCCATCAGTCTTGGGAGCATGTACTTTACCTGCTAAGCCATGTTGCTGACCCTTAACAGTTTTTAAAAAGTTTGATTTTATGTGTATGGGTGTTTTGCCTGCATACATATCTGTGCACCATGTACATTGCCTGGTGCTCAAAGAGGCCAGAAGGAATACATGGGCTGCCCTGGAACTAGAGTTACAGATATTTGTGAGTCACCATGCAGGTACTAGAAATCTCTTGGAAGAGAAGCCAGTTCTCTCTCTCTCCCTCTCTCCCTCTCTCTCTCTCTCTCTCCCTCCCTTTCTCTCTCTCTCCCTCTCTCCCTCCCTCCCTCCCTCCCTCCCTCTCTCTCTCTCTCTCTCTCTCTCTCTCTAAATATGGTTTCTCTGTTTAGCCCTGGCTGTCCTGGAACTCACTCTGTAGACCAGGCTGGCCTTGAACTCACAGAGGTCCATCTGTGTGTGCCACCCATCCATGAAGCTTTAATTTTGCCAACATTGACTCAAGGACATTGCAGGCCATGGCAAACAGACCATTTAGGACACCTCAGGGACTCAGGGAGTGACTTCCCCCCAGAGACATCAGCTCAGGACAGTAATGTCATGCCCATGAGGAAAACAGGACTGGCCACGTGTGCATCTCAGGGTCTCTCATTGGTTCTCATTTGGGCCGATTTTTGGGCTCTCCAGCTTCAAGGCCTTTATAACAGGTTGTCACTGGGAATCTGTTTCAGGGTGAGATGCAGTGGTACCTTAGGGTAGAGACCATAAAACTAGGAGACAGTCAGAAGCTATGCAGCTGTTGGTGGAGCTGCAGACAGCTGGAACCTGTAAGCTAATGCTGTCAAGGAAGGAAGCAACTAGAACATTCCCAGCACCGTGGTCCAGGCTACAGAGCCCCTCGAAACCTGTGCTTCATCTCAGGTGGCATGGAAACAAGGGGGGGCGCCTCTGGTGTCTCAGCACGTGTGGCCAGGTGATACAGGAAGTGCTTCTCTGTAGCTGGAATTTCTTTCCAGTCTGGCCCCACAGCCGATTAGTCCTAAGTAGGTACACAGAGACATATCAATTATAAACTTTGGCCGATGGCTCAGGCTCCTCATTGGCTGGCTCTCTCAATTATTAACCCATTTCTATTCATCTAATTATTTCCATATGGTCTTATCTTACTGGATGGGACCTGTCAGCTACATGGCATCTCCTGGCAGCTTCTCTCTGCCTTCCTCTCCCCAGAATTCTCCTCATCTGGTAGCCCCGCTTATACTTTCTGCCTGGCCCCTGGCCAATCAGTGTTTTAGTCATCAACCAATAAGAGAAACATACATACAGGACATTCCCCCATCACTTTTCCCTTCCTTATAAAATGAGGGTTCTGGTCCAGTGGTTCTTTTTCTGACTTTCAGTGTGTTTGGGCTTTGCTAGCTGCCACACCCTGACCCCACTCTCTGGGTCTCTCTCCCTTCACATGCCATCCTGCACAGGGCATTCTTAATGAAGCCGTGGGAAACTGCTGATGGCCAGATGGTTGTCTTAGAAACACTTGGATGTCAGAGCATCCGGTCCTGACTAAGGCCCTGCTGGGGAGTCTCCCCAGAAATGCTATTGGTAGTGGTGGGTCTGCTCCTTGGATCTCGTGACACAGGCATTATTGTTTGCAAGGAGCTTCGTGGGACCGGGGATGCAGCCCATTTGACAGAATGCCTGCTTAGATGCACACGGCTTGGGCTGTGATCACCATCACAGCATAAAACCAGGCGTGATGACGGATGCCTCTAACTTCAGCACTCAGGAAGCTGAGGCATAAGGATTGAAAGTTTAAGATCCTCCTTGGCTACTTGAGATGCCTTCTCGGAACCCTAAAGGAAGCATCATTAAAAAAACTATCCATCTATGTATCTGTTTGTTTTTGAGGGACGAGGTGATGGGTACCAGCCTTTCCCTTCAAGTCTCTGGCATCTGTTCCTGAAGATGATCAGTATTAAGCCTGGCCTGGTTGCAGAAGTTTGCAATGTCATCTTTTTTGGAAACTGAGGCAGGAGGATCTCAAGTTCAAGGCCAGCCTGGGTAATCTATTGTATTAGTCAGTGTTCTGTTGCTGTAAAGAGACACAATGACCAAGGCAACTCTTAAAAAGGAAAGCATTTTGGGGGACTTGCTTACAATTTCAGAGTCTTAGTTCATTATCATTGTGGTGGGGAGCATGGTGGCAGGCAGAACATGGTACTGGAGAAGTAGCTAAGGGCAACATCCTAATCCATAAGCAGAGGTGGGGGGGAGGGCCGGCATGAGCTTTTGAAACCTCAGAGCCCACCTCCAGTGGCACACTTTCTCCAAAAGGCCACACCTCCTAATCCTTTCAAGTAGTTCCACTCCCTGGTGACCAAGCATTCAAATCCATGAGCCTCTGGGGCCATTCTTATTCAGATCTCCACATATTAAGGCTGCGTGTTTCAAGATGAAAAGTTTCAAAAGGACGGGATTTATGGAGGCCCTCCTGAAGGGACACGGTCACACTGGCTCTTCTCCATCTGTCGCTGGTTGGACAGAGAAGTTTAGGGATCTGAATTTGAGGACCTCTGGTTCCCAAGATGATAAATGCTGTCATGTGATTCAGCCTGTATGGTTCCAAAAGAGCAAGTGTCTGTGAAAACTACCAGAGGGGTTGCACACACAGTAATCCCAACACTTGACAGGCTGAGGTAGGAAGATTGTAACCCTGAAGCTAGCCTGGGCTACACAGTGAGACACCCTGACTCAAAACCACACACCCACCCCAAGTCCTGAGCTCTGTCCAGTCAGTGGCCATCCCTGGAATGGAATTCCAAACCGCAAGGCAGACATTGCCCTGTCACTCCTGGGACACACAGTTGCTCGCACGCCCTGCAACAGTGCTGAGTGAGGGACGTTTCACGTGTAGACCGAGTGCCTCTGAGGATCGCCCTGTCTGCTCTGACATTCATTTGAACTCATTTAAGCATGGCTGCCATCAACTTAATTATTGCAAGGGGTGACTTAGGTAAGGCAGCCACCTGTCCTTCCTTCCTTTGCTTCTGGGCCTGGAGTCGTGAGTTTCCTTAGCAGGCGGCCATCTGAATATGGGTGCTCTCTGTGGGGCCAACAGGGAGGCTGCTGTTACTGGGCAACCTCCACCCCTGGTAACAGAAGAGAGGCACACCTTCCATGTTGCCAGGCTGTTTCTTTTGTTGTAGCCTCTCTGAGTGAACAGGGATGAGGCAGACCCAAGGATGGGGCAGGTTTAGGGACCAGTGCACCTGGTGACTGACAGGTGCTGCCCTGGATCCTCCTAGCAGCCAGGCAGGTAAAACAGCCTTTGTACAGCCCTGAGTCCATCATGCCTTGTACACCCAACTGATGTTGTTGAAGTGGGGTTTATGCTGCTCTGTGAAGACAAGAATATGACTCACCTGTCCGCCCGGACAGCCTATCAGTGACAGAGTTAGGACCTGGATCTCTCTGTCATTCTGTGGCCCTGCTAGTACTGACAAGGAAAGAGGTCACCTGCCCCCATCTTTGCACTGGGCCATTTATGATCTTACACAGCCACCTATAAGTTACCTCTTAGGGACCAATCCAGAAGGGTTGCAGAGTACCTGTCATGGGATTCAGATTCAGTGTTGTTGTAAGTCACTTGTCTATAGGAGAGGTCTCAGAACAGAGTGGAACCCGCCCCAATCAGAACGCTCTGGGTCAGACAGCTCTTGGCTCGGTTGTGAGTGCCACCCACGATTTCCCTGAAGTCACGGGGCTACTGCCGTCATGTGATGACCAGTCCAGGGTGCTCAAGGGGTGTATCTTCGTGGCTTTAAGGGAGTCTAGGATGAACCTAGCAAGCTCTCCCTGGGCCTGGTGTCTGAACACACCCCCAAAATAGAAGACAGAGTATCAGCTTAGCCAGTCCAGGGTGTGGTCTGGGAACAGGCAGCCTTAAAAAGGACTGCTTTACAAAATAGTATAACATGCGGTCCCTCTTTGGTCCAGATGATCTTGCTTTTTTGGTATTTACTTATGTGTGTCTATGTGAGTATGTGCCATGTGTGTGCAGGTGCCTGCAGAGACCAGAATAGGGATGTTGGCTCCCCTGGAGCTGGAGTTACAGACAGTTGTGAGTCGCCTGATGTGGGTTCTGGGAATTGAACTCAGGTCCTCTAGAAGAGCAGCCAGTGCTCTTAATCACCCAGTCATCTCTCCAGCCCCTTATCTTGGTGCTTTTCAGTTTCTCCTGATGGGAACTTTCTCATCCTCCCACAGTCAAGCATACCAGCCCACCTGTGTCCCTCACAGAAGGCCGGAATGGAGCCTGTCTTTCTTGTTCCACTTGCTTTCCCCATCCTTTTAGCAAAAGTGGTCAAAGGAGTTCTGGGTGTTTGTTGTTTCTGTTCTTTGGTCTCCTCCCTTCCTCTCTGCCTTTTCTCTCGGCTGTCTGATCTTCCTGTTATTTTGATCATATTCTAGTCGTCCATAGCAACCTCAGGGTGCATTGCTTATAGACAATTCCTCCTCCCACAGGACCCAACACCACAGTTAACTCCTTCAAAAATTAGTGATAAGGGCTGGGTGGTGGCGCACACCTTTAATCCCAGCACTTGGGGAGGTAGAGGCAGGCGGATCTCTGTGAGTTTGGGACCACTCGTCTACAGAGTAAATTCCAGGACAACCAGTGCTATAACAGAGAAACCCTGTCTTGGGGGAAAAAAATAGTGATGAATTTCCTTAATGTCATCAGGGCTGGGTTGTAGCTCAGTTGGTAAAGAACGGAGTTAACACACATGAAACCCTGGGTTCCATCCCCAGCACTCCATAAACCAGGCATAACCAGGCCTGTGATCTCAGCACCTGAGAGTTGGAGGCAGGAGGATCAGAAGTTTAAGGTCATCCTGGTCTACACTGAAAGTTCAAGGCTAGCCTGGACTCCTAGAGACTTTGACTCTTATAGAAAGATCAAGAATCTGCTGGGCTTCAAAGTTCCAATTATTGCAGTCTTTTACTCAAAACATGTTCAATGGAACTTCCCCGCCCCTCACCCCAGGGCTGCTCATCAAAGTTTCTGTCACATCCTTTTAGGTCCCTGTGACCCTGGTGGCCCATGGTGCCTTCTCTCTGCAAATTCTTTCGCGTGGCTTCTGCAGTATATACTACACGACCTGATGCTCAGCCACCCTGCTGACCTCATCCTGTGTCGCCCACCCCCTCGGCCACTGGGCTGCAGCCATATTGGATTGCTTGCTTAGTGGTTGTTCTGCCTCAGGACCTTGCACCTGCTCTTGCCCCAGTATGCTGGCTGTGCGTGGGATTTCCTGGGGATTCAGAAAGAAAGGTAGTGTCTGGCCCATCTGCAGACTCTGCTCCGTTGGTCCAGGAAGCGGCCTGGGCATCGTTGTATTTCTCAAGTTCTCTGAGTGCCTCTGTGGAGCCCCCTAGTCAAAGGGTGGCACCCCCTGGGCAGTACTCAGAGGACCTTTCCCTGACCTCAGCGTCCAGCATGGCTGTCTGTGCATCTCAGCTTCCCCACCACTTCCCAGACAGCTCCCCTTTCACGTCTCTTGGCAGAGTGCCATCTGACCTGTAACGGGGCCGTTGTGTGGCTGGGACCAGAAAACCTAGAATTGCCATCAGTCACTTCCTTTTTCTTATACGTAGCATCTCATCCATCGATGAACCCCTGGACACAACTTTCAGATCCTTCCTCAGTCTGACCCCTTCTCACTTCCTCCAACACCGTAGCTACCCTGGTGCCACTACCCTGGCTCCCCCTCCCAGCCAAGCTCTCTGCCTCCAGCTTGGATTCTGCAGTCTAGACACACCACACAGTGGCCTGTGACACACATCTGATCAAGTCATCTCTGGTGCTCAAGCCTTTAGCAGCTTTGCATCTAACTGGAACTGAAGAAGAAGCCCTCACGTGGCCTGGCTGTCATCTGACCCTCAGCTGCCTACAAGGCCTCATCTTAGACCTCTTCTGTCCTCAGGTCTCAAGCTCAGCCGCATCAGCCTTATGGTTGTGCATGCCTCGGGATCTTTGCCAGTTCTGAGACCCAGACACTTACCCCCTACAAAGGATGATCAGTGATCATTCTTGGAGGGATTGTCCCTGGCCCAAAATGGACAACATGCCATGCCCTTCTTTGCTTTAAAATAATATTTATCATCTCTGATGCTGTATCGAATGTATAGTTGCATATAGTTTATCTCTAGTACCACAATGTAAATGTTACAAAACCAGGACTTTGTAGATTTCTATAGAGAATGGCATCTGAGGCTAGGGACCTATTCAGTGTAGTCTGGTTGTTTAGCATGCACAAGGCCCTGGTTTTGAGCCCCAGACCGCTATGTTGGGCTAGGGGTGGATTTCATATCTATACATACTAGGTAGTTAGTAGTGTAGGTGGAGTTTCTGTCCCTCCTGGTCCCGAAGCCCCATTTAGTCCCAAATAAACACACAGAGGCTTATATTAATTATAAGCTGTTTGACCAATGACTCAGGTTTCTTATTGGCTACCTCTCTCTAAACTATTATCTCATTTCTATTAAACTATGTATTGCCACGAGTCTGTGGCTTACCCATAATGTATGACTCAGGTTTCTTATTGGATACCTCTCTCTAAACTATTATTTCTATTAAACTATGTATTGCCACGAGTCTGTGGCTTACCCATAATGCTCTAGCATGTTATTCCTTTGGTGGCTACAAGGCATCTTCCTGGCCACTCTCTGTGGTTCTGTTCCCAGCCTTCTCCTAGTCTGGTAGCACCACCTATACTTCCTGCAACAACCAATAAGAGAAACGTGCATTCACAGCATACAGACGGACACCCCCATCATAGTAGTGTTTATTGAGCTATATGACTACTGAAGACTTGAGCCACGCATTTCTGACCCCTGCTGAGCTGACCTTAGGAGACACTGCGCCTGTCACAGCCCAGCTGCCACAGTGTACTGCTTGCCACCTCTCTCAAGACCTTAAGCCCCGGGCCAGCATCATTTTGTTCACAGAGCCACATAGGCCTTTCAGGCTGTTTAGCCTCCGTTATATCTGCCAAATTCTGTCACTGTGGCACCTAGGCAGCATAGATAATACAAACAGAATGGTGTGTTCTGCCAACTCCGAAAGGACACCCTCTGATCATCAGGGTGAGTTCTCCCCAGAAGTGGGGCACTCCTCTGTGAGACTCGGGAGACGCAAGGAGGGAGAGTCACAGTGGTTTCCAACGGTTCTCTGACCATCATCCAAGAAACAGGCTCAAATCTGCAGGCTTTTAGGATTTACTTGTTTTTGTTTTGCGCGTGTGAATGTTTTGCCTATGTGTGTGTGTGCCACATGTGCGCAGTGCTCATGAAGGCCAGGAGAGGGCGCTGAGTCCTGAGGAACTGGAGTTACAGCCGGTCAGGAGCCACTGAGTGGGTGCTGGGAACTGAACCCAGGTCCTCTGAAAAATCAGTCAGTGCTCTTGACCCCTGAGCTGTCTCTCTGAACCTGCTGTGAATGTATAAGTTCTGGTTGGAAAGCATTAAGTTTCTTTCTTGGGCTCTCCTAAAATACATTAGAAAAGAATTTGTTTGTTTGCTTTGTGTTGTTTTTTGAAGTAAGGGCTGCCTGTGTAGCCTAAGCTAGCCTCAAAATCTCATTCCTGGGCTGGAGAGATGGCTCAGAGGTTAAGAGCACTGGCTGCTCTTCCAGAGGTTCTGAGTTCAATTCCCAGCAACCTCATGGTTCACAACCATCTGTAATTAGATCTGGTGTTCTCTTCTGGCCTGCAGGCACACATACAGGCAGAACACTAAACATAATAAATAAATAAATCTTTTAAAAAAATCTCACTCCTGCCTCAGCCTCCAGAATGTTGGGATGACAGCATGGGCCACCACACTTTTTGTTACATAATAAATAAATTAATCTTTAAAAAAAATCTCACTCCTGCTCAGCCTCCAGAATGTTGGGATGACAGCATGGGCCACCACACTTTTTGTTCAACTGGGATGACAGGTGAGTGCCACCACACCTGGTAACTAGGACATTTGTTCAACTGGGATAACAGGTGTGCACCAACACACCTGGTAACTAGGACGTTTTTTCAACTGGGATAACAGGTGTGCACCAACACACGTGGTAACTAGGACATTTGTTCAGGGACTTTGAACCCAAGCATGATGAAAATACTTGTGTTTAAAATCTGACTGTGCCAGTTACTACCTGTGACCTCAGTTATGGTATGTCTGCGGTGATTAAATTGTGTCTCTGAGTTTCATCGCTGCCATCAGAGTCAATGCTGCTCACACTTGTAAAGTGTTTACAAGGCCCTTTGATTTTTGTTTTGGTTTTTTGAGGCAGAGTTTCTCTGTGTTATCATGGCTAGCCTGGAACTCACTACCTAGATCAGGCTGGCCTTGAACTCACAAGATCCTGCTGCTTCTGCCTCCTGAGCACTGGGATTAAGAGGATGTGCCACCACTGCCTGGCTGGCTCTTTGGTAAATCAGGTGTCACTATTATCCGAAGCCTCCTGGAAGCCTTTAGGAAACCGAGTTTGGAGCAGTTGGGTAACCTGCCCATGGTCACCCAGTGAGAACAGAGCCCGTGCTCGTAAGCACTCTGCTCCCCTCCTGGTGCACATAACAAGCGCTCAGTATGTGATGGATCTGATTATAGCTGGATTAGCACTGTCTGCAGATATCGATGGCAACCAGAGAGTCATTTGGGAGAAAAGATGCCAACAGCACTTCCAGACTGTTCATTATGTCCTGTCTGCTGGTTCCATCTGAAGTCCTCCTCCACCCGCAGCTCTGGGAGGCGGGGCCTCTCACGGCTCACAGAGAGCGCTTCCTCTGTTTGTTTACCTTTGTCCCAGCTTTGCTGACCCAGCTTGAGTGGTTGATGTATCTCCTTGAGCTCCTGTGTCATCAACTCATGGGCTTTCTTCTTTCTGCTCTTCTCAAGATCTGTGCCTGGCCATAGCACTGGCACCAGCCCGTCCCCCTTCAGATAACAGAAATTCTAAACCAGCCCAAAGGGAGCTAAGGAGATGGTTCAGCTGGTGAAGTACCTGCTGGTGGGACAGAGTTGGGCAGATCTCTAGAGCCCACTGGCAGTTAGCTTAGCCAATTGGTAAGCCCTTAGTTCAGAGACTGTCTTCAAAAAAAAATAAGGCAGGTAGCCTGGCAGAGTGGCGCACACCTTTAATCCCAGCACTCAGGAGGCAGAGGCAGGTGGATCTCTGAGTTTGAGGCCAGGCTGGTCTACATAGCAAGTAGCAAGTTCCAGGAGAGCCAAGAACCTGTTTCAAAACAAGATTTTTTTTTTTTTTTTTTTTTTTTTCTAGAAAAATAATTGAAGGAGATAATTGTCAGTCTTAGCTCTTCTTCCCACGCACACACACGCACCACACACATGTGCGGTGGTGGTTCATTTTAACTGTCAGCATAACACAATCTTGAATGAGTTTCAACAAGGCATTTCCTAGATCAAGGTTGGCCTGTAGACACATCTGGAGGATTGTCTCGATTGTGTTAGCAGATGTGGGAAGAGCCAGCTCACTGTGGACAATCCCAGTCCTTGCGGGGGGAGGTGGTCACGGGCAGGCTGAGCTATGTAAGTGTAAAGAGGGGGCTAAGCTCAAACTAACACACACTCATTCCTTTCTCTCCGCTTGTGACTGTGGGCGTGTGAAATGCCAAGTCCCTGCTGACTTGGGTTCCCCTACTATGGCGGACGGTGACCTGGAATTGGGAGCTGAGATAAACCCTGTCTTCCTAATTTGCCACAGCAATAGAAATGAAACTAGGACGTGTGCACACAAGCTAGAACCTTTTTTTTTTTTTTTTTTAAGAAAGCCTGAAGAGTAGGAACCACTGCTAATAAGAGTTGCTGCCAGTGGCGGTGTATGTTTAGCCAGACGCAACGCTGTTGGTGTGACTGAGAATTCATTGCTGTTCATCAGCTCAGAGGATATTTGCCAATTGCTGCTCACCAGCTATGCTGAGCCTGCTTCTTATTACCGGATTCCCTACGTCAGCGGCAGCCAGCAGCAGCCATGGATGGTGGCAGCTCCATGGGTCTGAACTGTCCAGGACAGCTGCTTGCCCCGGGTGACTGCTGACCACTTGAAATAGGGCTGGTGCTACTTTCTGTTTCATTTAAGTTAGCTTAGATTTTGTTTTGTTTTTTAAAATGTGCACTATGTCTGGTGCTGGGGATCCAGCTCAGGCCTCGAGCATTCTAAGTGCAGCCATATTGCAGCCCCTTGACTTAATTTAACTTCATGCAACCACATAAGGCTAGCAGGTACTGGACTAGACAACCCGGGTCCAAAAAGTCCCTTTAATTTGTTTTTTTTTTGGGGGGGGAGAAACTAATGAGTCGGAGTCAAGTAGCTTTCCGAGGGTGTGCTGCTATGCGGCAGGCCAGTGTTAACACTCTGGCTTCCTGCCTCAGCCCTCTGTGTCGTCGTGGTATGCTTTCCTACAACGCTTTATTATGTTTTTACTTACTTTGCATGTGTGTGTATGAGGGGTGCATATGCTGTGGCATATGTCTAGAGTTCAGAGGACAATTTGTGAGTCAGTTCTCCCCGCCTACCTTGTGGGTTCCGGGGATTCAATTCAGGTCACTGGGCTTGGTGGCAAGCGCCTGTGATGCTGAGCCATCTCACTGGCCTCGTGTGTTTTGTTTTGTTTTTTTTTAAATGGTTTCGTGGTTGCCGATTGCTCTCTGAATCATGATATCATGTGTAAATTTGCACTCACCTTGATATGTGCAAGGCGTATCTAAAGTCAGCTGTCAGGATTTAAAGGAAGAGCAAATGGGGGCGGAGCCTGTGCTCCTGGGTAGGAAGACTAGATATTGTGAGACGCCATCTCTCCATGTGAACAGTCTCTGGGTTCATTGTGATTCTATTATAAACCCAAGATTGGGGTGGGGGCGGCTGGAGAGACGGCTCATCGGTTAAGAGCAGTGGCTATTCTTCCAGAGGACCTGAGTTCATTTCCCAGCATCCACATGGTGGCCACAAAAGTATATACAATTGACATATATGCAGGCAAAACACCCACACACATAGGGAAAAAAATTTTTTTTTTTTGAGACAGGGTTTCTCTGTGTAGCCCTAGCTATCCTGGAACTCACTCTGTAGACCAGGCTGGCCTCAAACGCCGAGATCTTCCTGCCTCTGCCTCCTGAATGCTGGTATTAAAGGTGTGTGCCACCACTGCCTGGCATAAAATAATTTTAAAAAAAGATAAAGCCACTTTTTATGATAGAGTGGAGGGGAAACAAGAACCTTTGAAGCAAATTATTGACAAATTTGACTGTAAAAACAAATATTTTCTCAATAGGGAAAAAAGACACTGGGGACAACAGTACATAACAACAAAGAACTGCAAGAAATCAGTCAAAAAGCTGGGTGGTGGCACACACCTTTAATCCCAGCCCTCCGAAGCCAGAAGCAGGCAGAGCTCTGAGTTCGAAACCAGCCTGGTCTACAGAGAGAGTTCTAGGACAACCAAGACTACACCATAAGACCCTGTCAATAATAACAATAGTAATTTTAAAGACAAGCAGACCAGGAGGACCATGGGTTTGAGTCCAGCCTGAGCTAGAGAGAGACCTAGTCAGAGAGTGAGAGAGCACAACTTGGCACTGGTGTGACTGTGGGATGTGACACCAAGGTGTGCATGAATGTCCCCAGGGACTGGGGAGATGGCAATGCCTGCTCTAGCAGAGGTCCTGGGTTCAATTCCCAGCACCCACTTGGCGCCCCACAGCCATCTGTAACTTTAGTCCCAGGGGATCCAATGCCTTCTTCTCTTGGACACCAGACATGAATGTGGTGCGCAGACATCCATATAGATAAAACACTCCTACACATAAAACAAATAGTACCAAGTTTTAAGTAGCCAATGGGAATCATTTAAAACAAAACCCCAAACGCCTTCAGCCGTTGCCAACATGCTGTGCTGCATTGTGGGTTTAGTCTGTCTGACTGCTCTAGGCTTTCCTCCTCCTGCTCCTTCGGCCTGCAGGAGAAGTGGGCAGACCCTTCAGGACTGAATTCTGTCCCCGGTCAGCCAGGCTGCTGGGTTTGCTCTGGGCTGGAGAGAAGAGCGACTATTTTTGTTGTGGGAGTTGAATGTTTGGCCTTGCTCCAACAGCACATGCTCCCTGGTGTGGCTGATCCATCTCAGCTGCTGCAGCCTCCATCACTGCTTCCAGAGAACACTTGAGAATGCAGTTGTCCCGGGAGCTTAAACCCTCCTCCCCCAGTACTCGGCGATCTGTGCCCTGTTCTTGCATTTCCCATCTGGGCCCCTGGAAAGGCAACAGGATTGGAGGGGCCCCATCTGGTTGCATAGAAATCAGACTGAGAATCCAAGCCTTCTCACACCAATTGCACTAAGCTTGTCCACCTGCAGCAGCCTGGCGGGCGGGGTGTGTGTGTGGGGGGCTGCTTCAGGCTACCTCATCTGTGATCTCAGCTTTCTCCCCTTCCTCTCCTCCCCCTTTACTGTCGCTCTCTCCAGCCCAGGGAACAGTGTCTTTCTTGGCACAGGGCTTGACATGAACCTGGCACACACCTAGATCTGGCCAGGTTCCTCAGGTGAATTCAATGCCCATGTCAGCCTCTGGCAGGAAGAGGCCATCAGAGCAGGTGATCCGGTCTATCAGACCTCAGTGTGTACAGAGGGCAGCTCCAAGAGGGCCCACACCCCACACATTAAATGATTATTTTTAAAAAGGGCTGATTGGAAATGTTTTTTAAATGCCTTCAGGCATTATGAACAGGCCGTGTGTGTGTGTGTGTGTGTGTGTGTGTGTGTGTGTGTTTATGTATGTATGTACCTGTGCATGTTTGACTTATACAGATACCACTGTGTGTGTGTGTGTGTGTGTGTGTGTAGTGCCCAGGCAGCAAGTGCAGCTTGTGGCCCTGCCCCAAAGCTTAGTACCACCAACACTTATGCAAGCTGGGCATCCCTCTCCAGCACAGGGCTGTCTGTGCAGAGTCCCTCCTGAAAGCCTTCGCCCTCTGGAACCTCCTGGGCAAGATCAGCCCTCAGCAGGGCTGTTGGAAGCCAACTCTGCTGGCCATCTCAGGATGCCATCTACCTGCAGCTCTCCTTAGCAGCATTACCCTCTTTCTTTCAGCTGCAGAGCTACTTTGCAGCGTGTGAGGATGAGACCCCTGCTATCCGGAACCATGACAAGGTCCTGCAACGCCTGTGTGAGCACCTGGACCATGCCCTGCTGTACGGGTGAGTGCAGGCTGTTCTTAGGGCTGATGGAGCCAGGCAGGGGGGACCCAGATACCCCCCAGAGAGACAGTCATTCCTGTTCTTGTCTGCCTCCGTTCTTTGTCATCTTACCAGAGGAAACTTGTCTCTCTCAGGCTGGCTGCAGTAAAGCTCCTGGGGTGGGGCTGGTTGCCTGAGGCAGCCCTGCCTAGGCCCAGCACTGCTGTCCTGTCCTTACAGATTGCAAGACCTCTCATCTGGCTACTGGGTGCTCGTGGTCCATTTCACCCGCAGAGAGGCCATCAAGCACATTGAGGTGCTGCAGCATGTGGCCACCAACCTGGGGCGCAGTGAGTAACACGGAAGGGGGGGGTAGCTGGCTCTCCCTGTGGGGAGCCTGGCACTCAGGTCCAGCCCAGGTCAGCCTGAGGCAGCTGTCTGCCTGGTAGTGTCAAGTGGCAGTGGGCGTTCAAATGCCACCGCCTTCCACAAAAACCTCACTTTTTTTCCCTTGCACGTGACAGTCTGTGGGTGTGTCACTGAGGAAGTGAAGGGGAACGTGGGTCCACAAGAAAACTGGATTCCTTTGGAGTCCCAGGCCGAGCGCATGAGATGTTAGCCTGCAGGACGGGCAGCATCCGTGAATACCTCAAAAAGGCATCGGCCACTACCGTGCCTTCTGAGCTCTGCCCGACTTTCCTGGCTGACCACAAGCTAAGGCCTGACCTGAAGGCTGTTGGGCTGCCTAGTTCCTCACATGCCTTTGGCAAATGAAAAACAGCTGCCCAGTAGCTGAGTTGCACCTGCCTTCTCTGCAGGCCGCGCCTGGCTCTACCTGGCTCTCAATGAGAACTCCTTGGAGAGCTACCTGCGGCTGTTCCAGGAGAACCTGGGTCTGCTGCAGAAGTACTATGTCAGGTGGGTGTCTGGAACACTCGTGGTTCTTGCTGGGCCCGCAGCTCCCAAAGCCTCCTGTCACATAGGGAACAGAGGCCTAGCTTGCTATCACACGCCAAGGGCCTGACTGACGACAGAGAGCCTGCTAGAATCTTGCTGGCAGGCTGGTGGCTTCCTCCATGAGTACTCAGAGTCCTGGCTGGGCTCTATGAACAGTCTGGTGTCTGCCCTGGCTTCAGGCTGACCAAATGCCCAAAGTTTGCCTTCCCCTTTGCTGGGGACACTTCAGGGACAGAGTGTTCATAGCAGCCACTGAGAGCCTGATAAGCCTTATGTTCCAAGCCCATCTCTGGAGACACTGGTAAACTTCACAGCCAGTAAGAACAGGAGAAATTGGAGAAGAAGAAGGGGGCATGGCTGAATAAGCTGGGTTCCCTCCAGGGGTGGGCTGTCCTGCATCCAATTTCAACACTGTAGGCTTTCTGGTGAGGTTGAGCCAGGCTGGTGACCAGACCTACAAATCCCCGGGTTGTTTTTTGTGTCTGGCAGGAACGCCCTGGTCTGCAGCCATGATCACCTGACTCTTTTCTTGACCTTGGTGTCTGGGCTGGAGTTTATTCGCTTCGACCTGGATCTGGTGAGACACCTTGGCTCTTGATACTGGTAGGAGGAGGGCGGGGAGGACTTCATTTTTCTAGTCCATCTGGAGCTTGTTGGGTGTGGCTGATCTTGGCAACACCTGTTTGTTCAGATAAAGGACTTTTAGGGTCAGTGGGATTGGCTGGAAAGGGGTTTTCTCTAGACGTATACTCACGGCCAGGATTCCTGCTTCAGTGTCTTCTGGCCTCTACACACCTGGGGAAAAGCCACATAGCCTCAAGTGTCTTCGCTCAGAGGGACTCACCTTTGTGTCTAAGACATGAGTGTCTGAGAGGTACAGGACAAATCCTTGGGATCCTGACAGGCATTCTTGGCTCTGTGCTTCTCCATAGGAGCTCTTAACCCCTCTTCCAATTCTCACGCTTCCTTTACACCCGTACACTGAGCAGACTTTCCCATGGCCACAGGGCTCACTTCCTAAGACTCTACCTACCCCCCAGGTGCCTAAAATCACAGATGGTACCAAACCCTGTATATGCTGTGGCTCTACACATATACATATATACATGATATGGATATATATATATATATATATTTCAAATGTATATTCATCATACATATATGTCTAATAAAGTTTAATTTGTAAATTAGGCACGGGCTAATTTACAATTTAATTTTAAGAGAATGTACTTTTCTTGCAGAGGACCTGAGTTTAGTTGCCAGAACATTTGTATGACAAGTAGTTCACAACCACCTGTAACCCCAGTGCCAGGGGACTCTGACGCCCTCTTTTGGTCACTGAGAGTATTGCACTCAGAAGTGCACATACCTCAACGCAGAAACATATAAACACTTAATTATAAAATCTTAAATTGCACACCTTTATTCCCGGCACTTGGGAGGTAGAGGCAGGCAGATCTCTGAGTTTGAAGCCAACCTACATAGAGAAACCCTGTCCTGAAAAAAAAAAAAGAAACTAATAAAAGCTAAGAGATAACAATAGTAGCAAAATAGGACAATTATAACAATATAAGTGTTTTGGATTTAAAAAAAAAACTTTTGAGTTTTATGGGCAAATCAGGAGGATCAGAGTTCAAAGTCATATTCAGCTGTATAGTAAAGTCAAGCCCAGCCCGAGATTCATGAAATCCCATTGGAAATGCAACAGCAACAGCAACAAAAACAGGGGCTAATGATTTGACTCAGTGGATAAAAACACTTGCCACACAAACCTGTCCTCCCAAGTTCAATACCCAGATCCTACATAAAAGTGGAAGGAGAGAACCAACTCCACAAAACTGTCTCTGATCTCCACACAAATCCTGAGGCATGTGTATGCTCTCCCAACCACCACTACACATACATCATGTACACAAAATAATAAAAGATAAATAATTTTTTTATTGAGACAGGACAGAGATCCATCTGCCTCTGCCTCCCAAGTACTGGGATTAAAGGTGTGCACCACATGCCTAGCTCCAAAAAATTTTGAAAACTTATCAATTGTTTTATTTCTGGAAGTTCCCATTTAATATTTCCAGACGAGAGTAACAAGCCATAGACAGCAAAACAGGAAGCCTGAGGGAATGCCTGTACAAGGACAATACTGACCCCAAAGAGGCCCGAGCATCTCATAGGCCTGGGTTCCTCAAGATTAGTGTAACCACCCCATCCTGATCACACCCTTCCCTGCTCCCTGCCCCAACAGGCTGAAGGTGGGATTTGGCAGTGGTAGAAACCAGAGAAAGTCAGATTCTAGTGCTGAGAGCTGTCAGGGAGATGTTAGCTGCTCTAATTGGGTTCCCAGGGCTCTTTTTCCTTCCCTTTTTGAGGTGCTGATGGTGGGACCCAGCTGGACATGCATTCAGTCAAGTGACGGACGCACTGCTGACACCCATCACATCCAAAGCTTCAGAACTGTTTCCTTACCGCTTGGGGCAGTTACTTACTAATTAACTCCAGAAGCACATTGATTTCCCTAAGAAAAGAGAGTGTGGTGTGTGTGTGTGTGTGTGTGTGTGTGTGGTGTGAGTCTGTGTCTGTGTGTGTGAGTCTGTGTGTGTGTGTGTGTGTGGTGTGTGTGTGTGTGTGTGTGTGTGTGGTGTGAGTCTGTGTCTGAGTGTGTGAGTCTGTGTGTGTGTGTGTGTGTGTGTGTGTGTGTGTGTGT